AAATCCTTGGCTTTTTAAAAATGAGTTCTTGCAAGGCAGGCACTCTGTGGCTGTAACTCTAGTGCCTCACCCAGTAGCAAGTTCCCAGAGGGTGATCAAGATAGGAGAGCGGAGTCTGGAAACAGTTTGTGCGCTTTAAATTTGCGCCATGCGTGAAAAATAAAACCATTAAACCCTTTGCACTAACCCTGAAGAGGAGCCCAGTTTCTCCCTGCCCTGTCTCCGTTCATGTGTAGGCTTTGAAACATGCCAAGGACATGGCAATGCAGTTGTCACAAACATATGCTTGGGTGGTTTTTTCAGAGCCTTGGTGGATTCTCAATGACTGATCCCTCTTTTATCTGGAAGCCCTGTAGGACTCGATGTCTTGTTTTCCGTTCTTTGAACAAGGCATTGCGGGAGTAATGTTGTCCAATGGGACGTTTTAGGGACCCTTTGGTGGGCTGGGTGCTGACTTGTCATGCTGTGCTTACGTGCTGTCTGCGGAGGGTCTCCTGCTGTTTGCCTCGCTGTTCGCTCAGTGTTTGTGAGAAAGCAGGTTGGTGTTGGGGTACCTGTCTGTGCACAGAGCAGAGAAAAACTCACCAGTCTGCAGGCAGCATCGCACTAACTGTCTCTGGCATAAACAAGGGCTTTCACACATAGGACATGTTGGGCGTGAGTGGGTACTAATTAGTTCAGAACAAGACAAGATTCCTTTCAGAAATCATGGTGTTCAAACCTAAAAGCTTGTGGTCACAGGAGAGAAGAGGTGTGTTCAGGAGCGCAGCAGGCTCCTTGTGCTTGGCATTGCCCAAGCCTCAATGTGCACACGCTCGTATTTGACCACTGCAATAGCGCAGGGGAGGCAGAACAGCAGCCGTCATATGACTTGGACACTCAGGCTCACGTGAGCTCAGTTTTCTCAGCAGCTGAGGGGGGCAATGTGGCGACCCAGGCTTTCCAGCTCCAGAGCCATCGCCCCTCCCATTAGCAGTTTCCTATTAGGGTCATACTGTGCAGAGCCTTAACTCAGCTGACCTTTCCAGAACCCTCTGTAAGCACAGCCCATGCTCCCTCAGGATAAACAAGGGATTTGGCTCCCAGCAGTGAAGAGTTTAGTGCTAACATGGCTAATTAGCATCCTAGCCCCAGTGCCAGCTTGTGCCTAAGACTCAGGGATAGAGTGGCACTTACGCTCTTTGTCCCCAGGAAGCAAGACCTTCAGTCCACATTGACAGGCCATTACCAGAAGTAGCAGGCACCGCCTGGGCAGAGAGCCAGATAATGACAGCCCGAGAGCAGGGCCTGTAGCGCCAGCCAGAGGGTGTGCTGAGTGTGGGAAGACACACAGCCCTTTCCCACAGCTCACGGCGGGGAGAGCACTGGTCATTCTCGCCACCTCATGGGCTCTGGTATCTTCACTTTGTTTTGCAGACTTCCCCAGACACTCCTTCAGCTGTCAGAGCCTGTGGCATTATCATCGTGGCTGGCTCCTTTCTCTGCTGGCCCCGTAGCCAGCCTCTCTGAGGCATAGTCTCCATGCTTTTAGAAGACTGCGTCCGTGCTGATTCTTCTGAAACTGTCTTCCCTTTCTGTTGTCGCCTCCTCTCATTCTTAGTCGTCCCTTCAGGGACGCCGGGATGGGCCAGCGTGTGTGGTGTGGCACTGGTGACACTTGCCCTTTCAGTCAGCACCCAGGGCTCACGCTGGGCCCAGCGTGAGCCCTGGGTGACGTGGGGGACGGACCTAACTGACGCCACAGCGTTTCTGCTAACTTATGCTGGCCATCGCCCTGAATGTGTCGGTTCATGTCACCGTGCCCACCCTCCACCATCACCCCAGGTCAGTGCAAACGCCAAAGTCACACTGGTGGACACGCTCAGCCCAGCTGGAGCCCTCTGCTGGGCAGCCTACGTAGACTTCATTGGCAGCACACGTACTCCAGCACTTCCCATGTCTACCACTTCAATCTGCTGTCCCTGGTCCTCAGTGCATTGCACATTGAATCATTAGTGCCAGACCTGCTTCGTGGTGGCTCCGCAGTAAATGCTGCATGCGTGTTGGACCCAGGGAGTAGTAGAAGCTTGGGTGCCTAGCCTAGTGCACCTGCCTGCCTCAGGCAGAGCCATCGAGGCCGCTCGGAGCACAAACTGTCAGGACTAAGACTCACGTCGTATGGTGACGTTTTGCTTTCACTGTGGACGTTTCCTCTCCACTCAAACAAGAGATGGGTGAAGGAGAAGCTAGAGAAAGCGAAGCCCATGCTGGCCTCTGGTGCTCCTGCATTCCCGGTAGAGATGCTGGTGGCAGCAGGATCTGCAAAGCTCCCTGCTGCGGACCTTGTGAATCCCAGCAGGCCTCGGCGAGGGCGCCATCGGAAGCTGGCACGTGGCACCACCCCACTTGCAGCTAGGCGCTTGGGCACCCGAGGCTCCCGTTTTTCATGGTTGTCTACCAGCGTCGGGCTTTGATCAGCACGATAAGCCTCGATTCCCGTGTGTTCTGTGGACAGTTCCTGTTCTGACTGTACTCCCGTGGCCGGGCCCTCCTTTTAGCTTATTAAAATAAAAATTGTGTATTGGGATGGATGCTCACTGCCCTGCTGGAAGGTAGGCAGTTGCCCCCACACCCCAAGGGAGCAGATTTGTCTGTCTAGGGAGGGGTGACACAAGGCACATTGTCACCTTCTCAGCTGGCCTCAGCTGCCTGGCTAAGTGTTGAGGTCTGAGCTGGGACATGAGGTAGCCTGTAGGCTCCATCCTAGGGATGGTTTGTTTTCCCGTGATTTGCAAGACAGGTCATACTCAGGGGCACCCAGCTGCCACGGTGGGTGAATGGCCGCTCCACTTGCTCATCCCCGGGGTGGCAAACTGCTGTCTGCATTTTAGTAGGGTAGCAGCTGAGCTGAGTCTCATGCACACACACCTACCCCAGATCTCTCCTTGCTCCAAGTGATTGAAAACAGACAGTAGTTTGTCCCTAATGCCACCCCCTCCTCACATTTGCTCCACTGCACCTGTGAAGTGTCCCTAAGAAACTCTGGTTTTCCTGAGCTGCCCTCAGTCTGTTCATGAAAGTAAGTGTGCTCATTTTAGTCTTCATTCGTAAAATGTGACCACTGGTGTTCTCAAAGAGGATCTGAGTTTTTCAAAGGTAATTGTTTTAAACCTGACTTTAATGAAGTAGGTGCCTTGTAATAGTGCTTTTCTGGGGCTTTGTAACAGTTACTTGTAACAGTTCTTAGAGAGTAATTCTGTGTCTGGGCCTTTAAGACCTCCCTCCTTCTTCATCTGCTGTGTGGTGTGGCTCAGGCTGTGACCTTAGCACTCTGAGACTGAACTGAGCTGGGGAGGTTGTTTGGAGTTTGATGCCAGACTGGCTATGAAGCAGGACTGCAAAACCAGACGAAGAAGCCCCCTCCCTTCCTGTTTCTTGCTGAGCCTTTTTACTCATCTTCTGCATTGTTCCCCCTCCCCCTGTGACTCAATCTCCATCAGCCAGCAGGGTGTGTGTGTGCGCGCGCGGGCAGAATGTGTCACCCTTTTACTCTCCACATCACCACCTTCTGACTCGGGTTCCTTGCTGAATCAAGAGCTCACAGATGTGGCCGGGCCAGGTGACTGGCCCATGGGCTCAGAATCCCCGTCTCTATGCCCCGCCCCAACCAGTACTGGAATTATAGGCATGCACTGTCGTGCCTGGCCAACGTTCTCACTCACGGAGGGAGCCATCGCCAGCACCCAGAAGGTCCATAATACCATACAGTTAGTTCATGGAGCCAGCAGGATAGCTTAGCAGGTAAAGGCAAGCCTAATGACATGAGTTCAATCCCTGGAACCCATACAAGGGAGGAAGAAGAGAAGCAGCTCTACAAGGTTGTCCTCTGACCTCCACATACACCATGTCTGGGAGGCACTCGCTTGAGCGTGTGCGCCTACACGCACACACACACATGCGTGCGCGTGCGTGCACACAGTGGCAGCATCAAATAAGGGTTTTTTTTTTTAAGGATATAATTTATGCAGAATTTGTTCATTTAAAATGCGGGATTAAAGCCTGGTGGTGTTGTTGCACACATTTAATCACAGCACATGTATGGCAGAGCCAGGCGGATCTCTGTGAGATCTAGGCCAGCCTGGTCTACAGAGCTAGCTCCAGGTCAAACAGGACTGTTAACACAGAGGAATCCCGTGTCACTCAGATGGGGAAAAAGTGCAGTTCAATGATTTTCCTCTTTTGGTTTTGGTTTCCTGTGTAGCCCTGGCTGTCCTGGAACTCTTTCTGTAGACCCGGCTGGCCTTGAACTCACAGAGATCCTCCTGCCTCTGCCTCTAGGGTGCTGGGACTAAAGAAATGTGCCCAGCTCAATGATCTCTAATATGTTCGTGGACACATACAACCACCAACACAGATGTTAGGATATTCTCACCATCTCAAAAAAGAATGGCTGTATGTGGTGACTCGTGATCCTTAGTGTGTGATAGTTCAGAACCCTGTGGTGGGTAGCCCGTGAAACTGGGAAGGACAAGAACCCAGAGGTCGCCCTCTGCTGGATGAGGCTGTGAGCACAGGCTCTGTGTTTACATTGGGGTGATGGCAATGTTTCTGCCACACTGTAGAAGGAAATGTCACCGAAGAGAAGAGAGGACAGGATGAGTCAAAGTGAACACCTGTGCTTCTCAGATCCCAAGTGAAGCAACACAGCGCTGTCCAGGACTTCGTGTATTTACACTTGTAAAAAAGATTTACTGTATGTAAATGAGTGTCAGCATGCACGCCTCCACGCCAGAAGAGGGCACTAGATCTCACTGTGGATGCCTGTGAGCCACCATGTGGGTGCTGGGAATTGAGCCCAGGTCCTCTGGACGAGCAGCCTGTGCTCTTAACTGCTGAGCACAGCCCCATATATTTACATTGTGCCTTTCACCCAAGCTCCACTGGGTGGCCACGGTGACCTGGAAGGAAAAGGTGACAGGAGGCTTTCCGGCCAATAATCAATCTTCTTCCTTTTCCAACAGGTTTGGCAGATCCCAGAAAATGGACTGACCCTTTCCCTGACTGAACCTGTGGTGATTTTAGAGGGTCACTCAAAAAGAGTTGGCATCGTCGCCTGGCATCCGACGGCCCGAAATGTGCTCCTTAGCGCAGGTAGAAGCCCGGCGGGCTGCCTTGCCTGGTGGTGGGGGAGGGGTATCGGGTGTGACTCTTATGTAGATGGGTTTGTACATGTGGTGTGCGGGAGGCACTCGCTCATGCGCACATGGGCGCACACACACAGTGGCAGCATCACTTTCCACACACCCCTCCCCAGTCATGACAAACCCAGCTTATCTGCTCAGCCCCCGGCTCTGACAGTGACAGAGTCGTGTGCCACCCCAGGTTCCTCAGGAGTGGAAACGATGTCCATTCTGGTGTTGTCTGTCTGGACAAGGGTACTTACCTCAAACCGCTTGGTCCCCTTAGTCAGCTGACTCTGGAAGAGCCAAGGCTGCGGCTTTGGTGTGGTTCTTGTTTGGTTGACTGATGGCTGAATTCACACTGTTGCTTTAATAGTTTCCTTTACCCAAATCTTGTTGCTCCAGCCTCTTAATAGGTAGGCAGGGCTCCTTGTCATCAGCACATTCCTTCCGGTGCCCTGGTGTGCTCATGGGGTTACAGCTTTCCCTAATAGGCTGTGAGTGTGCTTCTCACCTTGCGGTTGATGTGCTTGGCACAGGCTGTGATAACGCCATTATCATCTGGAACGTGGGGACAGGGGAAGCCCTCATCAACTTGGACGATATGCATTCAGACATGATTTACAACGTGAGCTGGAACCGCAACGGCAGCCTCATCTGCACGGCGTCCAAAGACAAGAAAGTGAGAGTCATCGATCCCAGGAAGCAGGAGATCGTGGCGGTGAGTGTCCTTAGCATTGCCGACCAGCGACCTGCACTCAGCTTTGAGGACGGCACACTCAAGCGACGCTGTGCAGGCACCAAGCGAACAGGGAAGCGATTGCCACAGTCTCTCTCTTCTCTCCAGTCGCGTCCAGCCTTGGCTCAACTCTGTCCCCTCACGGTGGCCTTAGATGCAGTCTCACTGTATAGCCCTGGCTAGCCTGGAACTCACAGATGTGCCGGGCTCTGCCTCCCGAGTGTTGGCCTGACAGTGGTACTGAACTGGTTAGGGTTAGGTGCCCTGCAGACCTTCAGCGGGTCCTGCCGTCAGCTCAGTGGCCCAGCGCCTGCCACCCAATAGGCTTCAGCAAAGTCACTCACCCTGCCTGAAGCTGTGCGTGTCAGGGCTGCTGCTGTAGGTGAGAAGTCCAAGGGCAGCTCCTTAGCTGTCCTCTGACGCCAGCCCAGACTGTGGCCTCAGGGCTGGGCAGAGTGGTGGTGAGTGCTTAGCCACCACAGGGACTTTCCAGGCCCTGTTTGTCCACCCAGCGTCTTCAAGGGTGTCTGTCTCCTCAGACACTCGTCCACCAGACAAGGCTAGGAGCAGCTTTCCTTGTGACCTGTGATGTTGGAGAAACCGTTGTGTGCCCCAGCCTGCGGGTCACCCGCTTGGGGAACAGAGTCCTTGTGTGTGTCTCATGGCTCCTGTGTGGGCTGGGGCAGCCAGAGTGGGGAGTGGGCTCCTCAGATGTCCCGCTTGCTGACTGACCAGGTCATAGAGTCTCACCGCTTCCTCATGCGTGGGGGGGGGGGGCGGGTACCACCGTGTCATAGAGTCTCACTGCTTCCTCATGTGGGGGGCGTGGGTACCACCGTGGCCTCGGCATCCTGCTCAGGGAACATGGAATGTCCCGCGGAGGGGGGTGCTGGCTCCCAAGATGGGCTTCCCACGTTGCTGTCCGAATGTCTACTTCTGCTCCCCTCCTTCCCAGGAGAAAGAGAAAGCACACGAAGGAGCCAGGCCCATGCGCGCCATCTTCCTGGCCGACGGCAATGTCTTCACTACTGGCTTTAGCCGCATGAGCGAGCGGCAGTTGGCGCTCTGGAACCCGGTAGGCCCCTTCCCAGTTTTCCCTCCTGAGCGGGGCTTTGAGTGGTAGGATCCTAGGTTCGGTGTGGATTTTAAGGTCCTGCTGTGAGTCAGGAGAGGTTCCCGTCGTAGGTGAGGCACAGGTCTCTGCACCATAGAAAGGCACACAAAGCTCCGGAGGATTCCCCGCAGCCAGACCTGGGAAATGATGGAGACAGAAGTGTGCAGAACTGGCCTAAGCGTTGTACACACCCTGAGCTGCAGGGGTAGAGTGACTGAAGGAAGCGGTCCACGGTGGGGATGCTTCCTGCCACTGCTGGGTTGTAGGGTGCGGAGTGGTTTTTCTGTTCCTTGTTTAACTTGTCTAAGTATATGCATTCTTTTTGGGTTTTCGAGACCAGGTTTCTCTGTGTAGCTTTGGAGTCTGTCCTGGAACTCAGTCTGTAGAACAGACTGACTTCGAACTCACAGAGATCGCCTTGCCTCTGCCTCCCTAGGGCTGGGACTTATAGTAAGGAAAGAGAGCAGCCGCCGCCTATGCTTGCAGCTCCAGTGCAGGGGATCTGGTGCCCTCTTCTGGCCCAGCATGCAACTGCACTCATGCACAGACCTTGGAGGCAGGGGCTCTCCCTGTGGCCCTGGCTGGTCTGGAACTCACTATGTAACAGACCAGGGTGGCCTTTAAAAACAAAAATCTTTTTAAACAAGAAAACACCTGTAAAGGAGAAAGATTTTTGTTTGTTTTTATTGTGGAGCCATGCTGATGTTCGCATTGATTGTGTATGGCCAAATTAACATAATAATCGGTGAGTTTGGCCTGTGGTGTTTATGTGTGTGAGGCTATGCCTGTGTTATTCACACTCCAGAATCTGCTGGGAAAATGGAAAGAATGTATAATAAGGTTATGAGAATTTGTATTTTGGACATGTGCCTACACTTGTCTGTATAAGTTTTATGGACTTTTTTTTTTTTTTTTTTTTTTTCAGAAAAACATGCAAGAACCGATCGCTCTCCATGAGATGGACACCAGCAACGGGGTGCTGCTGCCCTTCTACGACCCAGACACCAGTATCATTTACTTATGTGGGAAGGTAAACAGGGTCCCGTGTCTGATCTGACATCGGCACTAGCAGAGGCAGGTGGGGCAGACCTCCAGAAACCTAGAAGCTAGGCGGTGTGACTAATGTACGGTTCAAACGTTTTAAAACCGGCGTGTGTGTGTGTGTGTGTGTGTGTCTGTGTGTCTGTGTGTCTGTGTGTGTACGTGTGTGTACGTGTGTGTACTTACATGCGTGTCCCTTCAGGCCAGGTTGCAGTCATTGGTCATGCTGGCATAACTGTCACTTATTCTGGCCTAGCTAGCACGCCTCGGGTAGCTCTAAACAAGGCAGCTGTGGGGTTCTGCAAGGAGACCCCTTGGTGCTCAGCGACTGGAGTTAGATCCCTATGACTTCTGGGGTGCTATGGGGTACCACCGTCTTAAACGAAACGTTTCCATTAACGTGGGCACTGACTCGTCTCTGCTTCTTGTAGGGTGACAGCAGTATCCGCTATTTTGAAATCACGGATGAGTCCCCCTATGTCCACTACCTCAACACATTCAGCAGCAAGGAGCCTCAGCGGGGGATGGGCTACATGTCTAAGCGGGGGCTTGATGTCAACAAATGTGAGATCGCTAGGTAAAGAAGACAACCCAGTTGTCCATGAGAGCAGCCAACTCCAAGGCTCCTTTGCTGTGTTTGGGGTTGATTGTAGCTTGTGACCTGTCCTCGCGATGGAGCGTAGGGGTTACGCGGCTGTGCTCAGTGTTTCCTGATGGGCAAGTGGCTAAGAGCCTTGTGCCTTCATCTCACAGGTGCTAGGGTTACAGACCTGCACCATCATGTCTGGCTTGTTTTTCTTTTTTTAATGTTACACCTTTGATCCCAGCACCCAGGAGGCAGAATCAAGTGGATCTATGAGTTTGAGGCCAGCCTGGTCTACAGAGCAAGTTCCAGGACAGCCAGGGCTACATGGAGAAACTGTGTCAGAAAACAAAACAGGGGATGGTGCAGTTGGTAAAGCTCTGGTCTCTAGAGTGTAAATTAAGTTCAGGTCTCCAGAACCTATGTTCACTCACTGTGGTGCACACCTGTAACCCGGCCTTAATGAGACGATGGAAGGTGGAGAAAACAGATCCCCAGAAGCTCTGGAGCCAGCTAGCGTGGCCTGTGAGTCAGTGTTCCGGGCCGGTGTGACGGAGTGCCCGACGGGCTTAGTGGGTAAAGGCACTTGCCACACATGCCTGACAGCCAGAGTGTGGCCCTTGGAGCCCTGGAAAAGTAGAAGGGAACTGACTCTAGTTGTCCTCCAACCTGTACATGTGTGTAATGGCACACACACCCAAGTACTCACACACAGACGTAATAATAAATCGTAAAAATTACAAAAAGGTGGAAGGTACCTGCAGGCCCATGCCGGCAGCTGTCCCCAGAGCTCCACATGTGTGCAGAAATACACGTGAAAATCTAAAGAGCCAAGTTCTGTTTATGTGTCACGTGTTCACAGAAGACTTGGCACCCGGGGCATAGGTGCTGCCTCCCGTGAGGTGTGTGCTGCCCTGTGTGAGCCGTGGAGAATGTGACTCTGCTTCCCACCAGCACCTGGCCCCTGGCATGGCTGCAGCCATCTTTCCCGGGCCTGCCTCGCCCTCCGCTGTCTCCAGCTGCATGGGTGATGTCGGTCGGTCTTTAATGGGAGCCAAAGCCGTGTGTAGGTCCTGGGGCAGCGTGAGGGGGGCAGCGAGGACTCAGATCAGACTACAGAAAGCAGTCTCTGCTCTGGTACTCAGATCCTGTCACCCACGGTGACTGTGTCTTCATTTCTCCTCTGCAGGTTCTTCAAGCTTCACGAGAGAAAGTGTGAACCTATCATCATGACTGTCCCAAGGAAGGTGAGTGTCCAGGCTTGTGTTTGTTTTCAGTATGTGGGGGTGTTTTGCCTGCGTGTGTGTCTGCACCATCTGTGTGCTTGAGGAGGTCACAGAACAGCGTCAGAGCCCCGGGAAGGTTGAGGGCCATGTGGATGCCTGGAACCAGACCTCTAGCCGCTGTTGTAGTTAGGGTTTTCTGTTGCTGCTGGGAAGAAAGCGTTCGTTTACATTTACAACTCTCAGGCCACACTTCAGTGCGGAACTCAGTGTCGGGGCAAAAGCCTAGCGGCCGGAGCTGATGCAGTGCATAGAGGGTGCTGCTCACTGGCTCGCTCAGTCTTACAGCCCCAGGCCCGCCTGCCCTGGGGTGGCCCCAGTGACCGAGGTGTGCCCTCACTGGAGCTCGCCCACAGGGCGATTTCCTCATTTGATGTTCCTGCTTCCAAAAGGACGTAGCACTAGCCAGCACACCGTCTCTTCCCGCGCCATGGACTCAGTTTTTAAGTGACCCATATTTCAAAAGAAAACTCAGATCAGTGTGGTGCCTGAGAGCTCTGCCATCCATGTTAATCTTAGGAGAGTGACTAAAGGGCGGGGACATACAGCTCCTGGTAGAGCCCTTGCCCTGCACACAAGCCCACTGGACTCAGTCCTCAGCACTGCAGAAAGGTGAACAGCTCAGGGGAGCCCCAGCCCTTCTCGCTCACCTAATGTTGCCCAAATACCTGCTGCAGTCTGACCTCTTCCAAGATGACCTGTACCCTGACACAGCGGGGCCGGAAGCCGCGCTGGAAGCGGAGGAGTGGTTTGAGGGGAAGAATGCAGACCCGATCCTCATCTCCTTGAAGCATGGGTACATTCCCGGCAAGAACAGGGACCTCAAGGTGGTCAGGAAGAACATTCTGGACAGCAAGCCGGCTGCAAACAAGAAGTGCGATCTCATCAGTACTCCCAAGAAGACGGCCGACCCAACCAGTGTGGTGAGTGTGCTGGGGACAGTGGCCAGGGGCGAGGCGACTGGGGCTTGCTGGGCTAGCCAGCCCTGGCTGTGACCCCTGCCGTGCTGTGTGAGGGTGCAGCGCTGGCTGTGACCCCTGCTGGGGTTTCTTATCTGCAGGAAGTGAGTGCTCCAGGAGGAGACAGAGCCTGTGGGTATTGCAGAGTGCAGCAGTAACTGCTGGTAGCAATGAGGATGACTTTGCTAGGGCCCTCGGGTTTGGGGCAGCCCAGCCTGCCACCAGAGGGCACTGTCACCACAGGAAAGGACAGGTGTCTGTGGAGGAGCTGGGGAGGGGGGGGACGGACAACCTGGACCAGTGTGCCTAGGAGCTGGTGTTTGGCCATGGCCAGGGAGCCAGAGTCTGGACTTGATGCCATAAGGTCCCACTGAGTAAGCTCGGGTGGGAGAAAATGGGGCTAACTCAGAACACTGGGGGGGGGGGGCTCTGACTACAGGAGTCTTCTAGAACCCCTACACATGGAGGCTGCTCCTGATAGGCAAAGAGAGCAGTGAGTGGGCTGTAGGGTGGGTGCTCTGTGATCTAGAGGCTCTGTCCACCAGGACTGGGAGCTGTACTGAGGCCCTGCATTTTTCTTGTGGCCTCTCGTGTGTCTCAGGAAGCCGGTGTCCTAGCTGGACCTCGGCTTCTGTTCCCTGTGTGGGAACATCGAGCTTAGTTAGACTTCTTTAATGCTATTGGTCACCTTTCCTGTTTGTTTTCCTAGCAAAACGAAGCCAAGTTGGATGAAATTTTAAAAGAGATCAAATCCATAAAAGACACGATCTGCAATCAAGACGAGCGCATTTCCAAGTTGGAGCAGCAGCTGGCGAAGATGGCGGCCTGAGGCCCGCCCACCTCGCGGACGGCAGCTGCTCATTGGCGTGCTCAGGGGAGGCACTGCCATTTGGAGACATTCCATTTCAGATCCGCAGCCAGCGATAGGCCACATTCCAGTAAGATCTAAATTCTCCCAGATCTGCGAAGAAATAAAGCTGAGCTCTTGCCCGGGGAGCTCTCTGGTGTCTGACAGGCCAGGGACTTAACTTCACTACACTGAAAATGCCAGGCGAACCCACCCGGCCCAGTGCCCACACACACCTCTCCACGGGGCCAACGCCACCTTTGCTCCATGCATTTCCCCCTTTTTAATGTTGCCAAAACCAAAAGTAGCCCTTTCCTTTGTATTTTGCTACTTTGCAGTATTTGTGTGGTTGGTTCTTTTGGGCTTTTTCTTTTTTCTCAATTTGAAAGGGACAGCACTGTGTTTGTAACCCAGATGAAGGTGAGGTGACTGTTTTGTATAAAGTCTCAGGGACAGTCAGCGCAGCCGCGGTCTGTCCGGCGGGGAGAGCTGAGAAATCACGCGGACCCACACACCGCCCTCCAGTCCGTTGAGTCTTTGATCAAGCAGCTCTTGCCCTCCCCCCCTCCCTCCCTCTCTCTCTCTCTCTCTCTCCTCCTCTCTCTCTCCTCCCTCCCAGGAGTGGGTGGTTGCACAGATGGAATTTAGCATCTTGATTTGTCACAAGATTATAATCTAACCAAACCAGCGTGTGTTCCTGCAGTTTTGTTCTGTGCAGACTGTTGCGTCCATCCCCTCCAGCACTGTGGTTCAGTTCCGGCCCGTACTGGACAAGAGCTCCCCAGACAAGAGCATGAACGTGTGTTGAGTGTTCTTGTCCATTGAAGCAGCTTGCCTGGCCCTTGGGTGTGGTGAGGGGCTTGAACCCAGGCGCTGTGAGCAGAGCCTCTGCCTGGTGACCCTGTTTCCCACATCTCCTGTCAGTCCACCGCCTGCCGGGCCTAATCCGTCTGCAGAGTGTGACCTGAGGGCTCTTGGACATTGTGGCTGAGGGAAAAGTCCAGGGGGAGCAGAAAGTGGAGTGTAGAGAGGGGCTGTAGCCCCCACACAGGCACTGACATGGCTGTGTGTGGCGCAGCGGTCCCCTGGCTGCAGAGAACGGGGCCTTACCTGCCTCCTAGGGCAGCTGGAACTGAGCCACATCCTCCTGTGGCGTGTGTGTGAGAACAGATGACCAGACAGTGTCATAGGGATCATGGAAGGCAGGTCCTGGCATGTGTCCGTGCTGGTGTGGGCACAGTGCTGGCTGCCAGCAAGTCTACAGGGTGTCGGGACAGAGGCAGAGTGTGCTGGCAGCAGCTTAGACTCTGTGCGCTGACTGGGTACTATGGTGAGAAAAGGCACCCAGCCGTCCATACAGGGCTTGCGAGCTCCACAACGCCAGCGAATTGGAACCTTTGTGCTTTTGTGTGTCTGTCTTGCGTTTCTTATGTTAAAGTGGATAATGAGATGTAAAACAATTAGTGACTTAACTGACACACGGGAATCGTATGCCAGCGTGTCCCACTGAGGGCTTTCCTTTCCAGACTCAGAAATGTGCCGGAGCGTGGGCCAGTTAATTAGGTAACAGTTGTTGGGGCTGGCGATGAGGCGCGGGAGGGAGTGTGGTTCAGAGAGAGCACAGGGCGCCAGACTCCGAGCAGGCGTCTGACATGTGGTGGATTCCTTTTCCCTGTCTTCTTAAAGCGGTGGCACCAGAGGGGGATGGTGAATGGCTCCCAGGGCCACTCTTATAGAGTGGCCATGTGTCCTGTCAAAACACCTGCTTCCGTTTTCAAAGATAAAAGACATTGATTACAACCGTGTGCTGTGTTTATTTGACGCCTCAGTTGTTACCGAGGCAGCAGTGGCCCACAGCCCTGAGAGTAAGTACCAGGAGTGGGGTGGGCCCTGCACCCCAGGGTGATTGCAGGGCCTCAGGCTGGTGCTGGGGTCCAGACTCACAGACCCTGCCTCCAGCCTTGGCGGCCTTCGTGACCGTGACCTGAAGCCAGGGTCTTCTCCCAGTTTCTTCCCTGGTTTGGGGAAAGGATGGTAATCCCATGTTCTCTGGAGGAGAGAAACAGCCATGCTGACCACTGGGCCTCTTGCAGGGATGGCGTGGCCAGAATGGAGGGTGTGGGGGGGGGCTCCCAGGAATTTTGAGACAGGGTGTCATGTAGACCAGGCTGACCTCCAATCTTTCTGCCTCCGCTTTCCAAATGCCTGGGGTCGCAGGGGTGCCCCACCAAGCCTGGTTCATGCAGTGCCATGGACGGATCCAACCAAGGGGCTTTGTGCTTGCCTACTGAGCCACGTCCTCAAAATTGGCTTTTGTGTGGTGTTTTCATTTTGTTTTGCTGCTACTGTAGTTTGAGAGGAGGTCTCAGAGCCGGGAGTAGTGGTGCATACCTAATCCCCGTCCTCAGAGCAGAAGCAGGGCCAACCTGGCCTACATCGTGAGTTCCAGGTCAGCTAGGGCTACACAGAGAGACCCTGTCTGAAGAAGGAACCCTGCTGAGTGCTGGATAGCCTTGAGCCTCTTGCCTCTGTAGCCTGAGTACCTGGGTTGCATACCCAGCTGTGGGGGGCGGGGGAGGGCAGGGTTTTCAGTAGAAGGGAATCTTGCCTGTGCTTTGTGTTCCAGCAGGTTATTGGCATCTTCATTGCACCTTCCGACTTCTCCTTTTCTGTTTGTTACTTCATCCCCGATGACATTTCAGTATTTGTAAGGAAGAAACCCCCATGTTTACCTTTTCTGGGTGCTTATGTGATGACCAAGTGACAGGAAATCCCAGGCCCCCACCCCCACCCCTGTCCTTCCTCCTGAGCAGAGGGAGCAGCTGGTTCCCTCCCCACAGGGAGGGGAAGTCGGCAGGACCCCCGCTGTGGGAGAGGCCTGGTGGTCTGTTTACGGCTGGCTTGTTGTCTGGTTTTGGCCACCTTGAACCTTTGCCAGGAGACCTGACAGCAGACGGCCAGCCGGACACCGTCTGGAAAGAACTTACTTTTTAGGGTTACTTCCCTACTTGGTGCTCTGTGCCCACAAAAGTCGCTGTCGGGTCTTAAGGAAGCTGTTAACTCTAAACTACCCTTCTTCCATCGTAGTCAGGGACCCTGGGATTGGCTCATGGATATGAGTCCCAGTCACTGGCATCGCTTTCTCTTTGAAGGGGATGCATTCCTGGGTAGCCTGTGCCCTCCCAAGGACACTGGAGAGAGAGGTGGGACCTATACTACATTGCCAAAGGAGCACGGTGGCAGGCAGCGCCTTGTGGAAGGCAGGTCCCGGCTGACAGCCATACTTTTCCCACGCTTCATCTCAGCTTCGCCGCTAGACACCAGTGGGGCATAAACTGAAGGGTTAGAGGGGTGGGAATTGGCTGTGAAGTTACTGGTCACGTTCCTGTAGCGCCCTGTGGCTATTTATTCATTTAAGAAGGATATTGAGTAAGAACAAACCGGTTGTAGCTGGGGGGGCTAGAGAGGGTGCCGCAGTTAGTGCGTATTAGCCACATTGGATGACTCCATTCCAGGCGATCTGATGTCCTTGTGTTTGGGCGCACCACACATGTACATCCGGGTGCACGGACACACAAATACACATAAAAATCAACCTTAGACAAAGGAGGACGCAGCTGATTCTGACTTCTGCCTCTAATACACTGTGTGTGTGTGTGTGTGTGTGTGTGTGTGTGTGTGTGTGTGTGTACATAACTGGCTGGATATGGCAGGGACCTGGGTCCCAGCACTCTGGAGGACTGAGAGCTCAAGGCTAGCATGACGTTACAGCAAGTTCCAGGACAGCCAGGGCTACACAGGTTTTTCATGCCCTGCCGTGAAAAAACAAAATGGAAGATAAAGACAATAATAATAATAAAAGAATGGTGTTTTGTTCTGATTGTTTGAGAAAGGGTGTCACTCCGTAGCCTGAGCTGGCGTAGAATTCACTCTGTAGACCAGGCTGGCCTCAAACTCAGAGATCCACCTGCCTCTGCTTCCACAGTGCTGGGGCTGAACGTGTGCGCAAACTGGTGACAGAAACCCAAAGGGAGACAATTCAGTGAAAAGAATCAAAGCCCAGTGTCCATAAACAACCGGGACATGCCGGGGTTGACAGCTGGTTCCCCACATCAGGGATCCAACGCCCACTCCTGCACACACCCATAGGAAGATAGTTAAAAATAAGCTATTTTAGTTTGGACATGTCATAGACTGTGGCTCTTTTCCTGAGTACCTGGAGATCTGAGAGGCAGAGATGGTCTTGCTATAAAACCTAGAACACTGTTGCCTTGGTGATTATAAAATTCCAGAAGCAAAAGCAGCTTGGAGAGGGAAGGGTTATTTCATCCTACAGCTTGGAGTCCCTCATCCAGGAGTCAGGCAGGGTATGAACAGCAGACAGAAACCTTCCATATTTCACGTTCTCTGGAAGAACAGTGTCTCACACACTGACTGTGTTCCAGCCAGTCCCGAAATGGCTGTCTCCTGAGGCAAAGTCCAAGGAGGCTGGATGCCTGAGCTGATCTTCAGACTCCTCCTTCAGAGCCCTGAAGAGGCAGGCCCATGATGCTAGTGACAAAATGAAATGCCTCTGTTGCAAGAGAGGTGAGTACCAGTGAGAATAAGGGCAGGGCAAGCCCACAAAAAATGGAAGCTTCCTTCTATGTCCTTTACATAGGCTGCACAGGAGGTGTAGCCCAGATTACCACCTCAGATGATCCAATCCAGAAAAGTGCTGCCTGACAGCAGTGGCACACAACTTTAATTCCAGCATTCAGGAGGCAGAGGCACGTGAATCTCTGAGTTTGAGGCCAGCCTGCTCTGCAGAGAGAGTTCCAGGACAGCCAGGGCTGCACAGAGAAACCGTTTCTGTCTTAAAACAATAAAAGAAAAATCCCTTATAGGTGTACCAGGCTGCTGGGGTTCTTAATTCCACATGACTGTAGTCAAGTTGATAATTGCCATCACACACCTAGAGGCAGGAACTGATGTAGAGGCCACTGAGGAGGGCTGCTGCTTACTGCCCTGCTCTGTTCCCCGCCCTAGGACCAACTGCCCAGGCCTTTCCACATCAATCAAGAAAATGCTCCCCATACTTGCCTACAGGCCGTTTTACAATCGTCTCCCTCCTCCCCCCCCCCCCACAGGAGAGCATCTCCCTTCCCAAATAACTAGTTTGTACCAAGTCGACAAAACTAGCTAGCATAATTGACCCCTTGTCAGCCTGATAACAAACATCACAATTCAACTTCACACCTTTTCCTTCTCATTTGTCCCTCCAGGTGTTATGCTAATACTAATGCAATATAAAACATTCAACGTTTTAAAAAGCCCCAAGTCCGAAGTTTCGGTCCTTAAAACATCCAAAGTTGAGTTAGAGATTTTGCATAGGGGCTGGAGTCAATTCCCAGCATCTATATGTTGCCTCATAACCGTCTCTTAACCCCGGCCCCAGGGGATCCAATGCCCTCTTCTGACCACAGTGGACACTAGACACACACTCCGTACACAACCATACACGTAGGCAAAACACAAAAGTCTTTAAGAATTAGAAAAACAAAAAGGCATTCAAAGCCTCCTTCAAAGTTCAGAGCCTCTCTAAAATACCCAAAATCTCTAAAATTTCCAAGGTGTCTGTAAAATTCCAAAGTCTCTGAAACACTGGGGACCCTGTAAAATCAAAACAAGTTAAAGAGTTTGTTTTGTTTTTTACTCCGGAGAGGGTAGAACCCCAGAGCACAGTTGTGTGGAAATCAAAGCAAAGACCAAGTGTAACAGTTAAGAAGTTCAGTGCTTGACCTCTAGGATCCACTCACCACCTCCTGGCCCCAGAGGACCCAGCCTCTTGTCAGCTCTGTCCTCAGCAGCAGGCGCCAGCTTGCCTCATAGGCTCCGGCCAGCTCCGCTCCACAGTTGCTGCTGTCTGTCGTGGGGTTTTTTTACTCTTTTGCTCTTTCTCTTTAGGGGCCCACCACCCAGCTCCCAAATAAAATACACACAGGCTTGTTATTACTTAACTAATGCCCAGCCTTAGCTTGGCTTGCTTCTAGCTAGCTTTTCTTAAATTATCCCCATCTACCTTTTGACCCTGGGCTTTTTTCTTTTTCTTGCTTCTGAATATCTTACTTTCACGGCCTCTAGCAGCCTCCTCTCCTTGTTCTTGATCCTTCCTCTCCCTTCCCAGAGTTCTATTTACCCTCTCTGCCTGCCAGCCCCGCCTATCCTTTCCCCTGCCTCGCTATTGGCCATCCAGCTCTTTATTAGACCAATCAGGTGTTTTAGGCACGCAAAGCAACACAGCTTCACAGAGTTAAACAAACGCAACATAAAAGAATGCAACACATCTTTGCACCATTAAAACAAATGTTCCACAACATAAACAAATACAGCACACCTTAAAATAATTCTACTGTAGCTGTCCGTGGTGGTGGTGGTGTGGTTCTGCAGTACTGGTATCTCCACGATGTCAGCAGCGTCTTTACCTACATCTTTGCTCGGCTGCACCTCCAATAGCCTCTATGCAGGGAGCTTGACCCTGCCGCATGGTGTCTTCTGCTGCTCTCCATGATCCCTTCATGCTTCAAAACCAATACTACCTGGGAAGCCCTTGCATATTACCAAGCTTGGCCAGTATGAGATGCAGCCTTCGCTGCCTCTGGACCACAGACCGTAGCTTCCGTGTGCTGACTGGAGGAAATAATCCGAATCGACAATCCTCAGTGCCGCTGGTCTCTTTCTAATCAGTGCTGATTTCTCAGCTCAGATCACTAGCATGGATTGTTCCAGTGATGCAAAGAGTTCACTTCTGTGGCTCTGCT